TTGTTTGAATTAAACTTACAACCTCTGGCAGTCAGGATCACTTACCGCTAGAAAAGCAGGCTGGGTAATTTAAGCAATATACTCGTATTCATATGCTTGAAAATTATAATCCTCGTATCTTTCAAGCGAAGAGAAGTGTTCCAAATTTAAACTATCGCTGTCAAACTGTTTGCATATTTGATTGAATAATGATGCACAGGAATAAATATATAATGCTTGTAAAATCCTACGCACAGTATTATTAATTTTCTAGTCTATGTTGTCTGGTATAACAATCTATCAGATGTTTGAGTCTAACTATATGATCCAGATGCACTAACTACGTCAGTTGTGCATCTGCCTTACTTAAATGACTTACAAACATAAAATTGGTTATTATAAACAGAAGGAATTCCAAGATATCTGTATTTAATCAAAATATTTAAAAAAAGCCGTGAAAATTATGTTCTGAAAGAAATCTAAAGCCATCAAAACTGCAGTGGTGTTAAAGAAATATACCAACTAAGACGTAAATCTCATCACTTTCTGATGTTTACCGTGCTATTCTCGAATACAGACTAAACAAAGGGGCTGATGCCTTGCAAAGCCTCCATTTCATTTGTGCTCTACATTGTTTTGAAATAAGAAAGGGAAACTAATTGACACATGGACAAAAAAAAGCCTCTTTTCCTTCTCGGATGAAGAAAGGTAAACAGATAAGGGTTATTATATTTTTATTTGATAGCTGTATATGTAAGACCATTTTGAGACATTTATAATCGAGCCGAAAGTTAACTTACAATAGTCAAAATCAAAATTAGGGAAACCGTTCTATGGAATCAAATGATAATCATTTTATCTGTTTCCAGCGTATATAGCTATTAAATCTTTTTACTTTCTTAATTCACTGATTCACATTTTAAGCCACCTTAACACCTCATTTTGTAAACAAGCTGTCAGAGCAGCATCAATCGATGGAACGCAAAACGTTTACGCAGATGTTTACGTTTAAATATATGAGCAGACCATCGATGATTCATATTATCTAGTATACCGCCGCCGCCTTCATAACAGACTTACTGTAAGGCATCTAAGTAGTAGTACGAGTACTTTGATGTTGTAATTTAGGTGTTTTTTTTATTAGTTTGAATATTACCTTATAGTCTACATACGTAAAGAACAAATATTAGGTCTTTACCTATGAAATTGCCGTTTTGTATGCAATAAGTGAAAGTACTTATTTTTTCAAACTTTTTTATTTCTGTTATTCGAAGTAATCGCCCATACAATCGACGCATCTTTGCCAACGCATTGACAGTATATTGATGCCCTTCTTGTAAAAATCAGCTGGACGGGAGGCAACAAACTCTTCAAAGGCATTTTGTACTGCCTCTCGGGCATTGAATTTTTTACCCACTAAAAAGTTGTCTAAACTTTGGAAAAATTAATAGTCGGTAGGTGCAAGGTCTGGTGACGGCGGTGATATGGCGGATGAGGGAGAGCTTCCAACCCCAGCTCTTGCAGCTTGGAGACTGTCTGTTGCGCAGTATGGGGTCCCGCGTTGTCGTGAAGGAGCAGTGGGGACGACCGATTGACCAAAGCTGGTTGCAGATGTGACCACCAGACCGCTTGCACCTACCGACTATTACTTTTTCCAAAATTACATATCTGTGAACATAATGGTTCTCTCTCATGACAATGCTGTTTCTATTTAATAATAATAATGTAATATATTATCTAATATAATAAATTATTCCATAAACAGTGTCTTTGCACAGTACATGGTTTTACAAATATTAATGTGGGTACAGGATACATTTAAATTGAACGCGAGGTCCTGGTCGACCAAATCGGACGAGACCTGTCCCCGCCAGCAATCATTGCTGCCATGCTGGCGGGTGAGGAGGGCTGGGGCGCAGTGGTCTCTTTCTGTGAAGCTGTAATGCTCCAGAAAGAGACCGCTGAACGGGATCGGGAGAGGGCCGATCCCGAACGTAGAAGACGTCGGCGGCGATATCAGAGAGTGAGGACCTCTGGTGGCAGATTGATTGAATGGAATGGCCGGCATGATTGCATTAAGATGCGATCGGGCCGCTATGTCGCGGTTGAAGGGGGAAGTGTTCTCCCCTGGGATAGGGCCTGATTAGGCATGGTGTCAATTCGGGGAGAACCTGAAATAACATGGTCCGGGTCCTCCCCAGAATAGGACACCTAAAGCCGGCCGTCGGGGTGGTTTTTACTGGAATCACCACATACTCCTGGCTCCTGAGTCCCCGAGGAACCGGAGATCCGAAGGGATTTTCCACCCCGTCAACAAAAAAAAAAGGATACATTTAAATTGGGGCATCTGTGCCTGGACTAGAGAAGAAATCTGTATCCCAGACATCAGCGCTCTTCCCTGAAATGAAAATGTTGTGACCAAGCTTAAAATTCAATCTCAAAATCTGACAACATTTCTGACGTTGATCACTTTCGATCGTAGTTTGAAAGTACAGTATGCTTGACGCGACCAAAAAAAACTGTTCTGAACCAAGTCTATTCATCAACAGCCTTTACTAGTCCACTGCTGGACGTAGGCCTCTCCTTAAAAAGGAGGTTTTGGCCTACTGTATAGTGGGCCAAAACGCCAGATCGCTGGCCAGACGGGTTGGTATAGGGTTTGCTTTAAGTTTTCCTTCTCTTTGTAGTTCTGTTGTCCTGCATAGATTACTCCCCTAGAAAAACACAAAGCTCTATACGTCGCCTACATCGTCTAAAGTTTTTGATACTGTATCACATTCCAGTATCTGGACGGCGCTATCAGAACAAGGGGTTAAAAATGAGTATTTACAGATAATAAAAAAAACAACAACAAAGATAGGCCCAAACTCAAACTAAAAACAGTAGGCCCAAGTTTTATATTGAAAGAGAAGTGAAACAAGGCGACCTGACCTCCCTAAAACTGTTTTTGTCATTTACTTTGCTAGAGTCGATAATAAGGAAACTGGATTGAGAAACGTGCGACCTAAACATAGTCGGCAAATACCTAAGTCACTAGAAAGGTCTAGGATAGAAGCCTAAAATTCTAGAGATATCTATGTTGTTCTAGAATTTATAATGTTCTATCTAATGAGTGATATGGCTGTGCCCTTTGTGTGAGTGGTGTATACAAGTGTCTGCTGTCTAAACAGATTTAAACTCGAATACTATATATTTTTTCACTTTACTTTAGGTGATCTATTCATACTTATACCATAAATGTAAAAGTGATTTTTTTGTTTGTTTATTACGCTTTCATGCCTAAACCACTAAACGGATTCTAAAAATTATTTCACTAATGGAAAGCTACATTATCAGCGAGTACCAGCAGTTTTTTTACTGGGATAACCAACATAGGCTTTGGGTAAAAGCTAGTGATTTTAAAAGTAAAGGCAAACTTTATTTTCATGAAATTTATAGATTTTTAATATTTATCATTTATATCTTCTACAATTCTAAAAAAAGCCATTAATTTATCCTCTGTTGTGCCGATTTTTACTTATTTCAAAACTGTAGATACAATGACAATCCACATGATTTCTAAGGCCAAAGAATTAAAACAATGTAAATTTATCGTTTACATTTGTCAGTTTACATACCGGGATTAGACAGTAATTACTACTGATTGTTTTAATATATACATCTGTAGAAATATAAAGTAAGCTCTAAAAGCATTTGAAATGATAAATTACATATAAATTACATATAAAAATCCTTGCTCTTCAAAATTCAACGCATCTCCGGCATTATCGCTACATATGAAAGCGTAGACGTCAAGTCTGAATGTTGCACAAACAAGGTGATTAATGTGGCATAGGAGTGACCCGCGAGCCGACAATATTTCCTTCTTTCGTAAACATGTCACATGGTTTATAAATCTAAGAGCTCCCTTAAATGCACCGTTTATTTTCTACGTCAACCATGCTTACATTCTGGATATTTTTCGTGATTTATTTTTGCTCATGGGATTAAATGTAAAAAAGAATTATATCACAAGCTTATTTTGATATTTGAGACGGCTTAATTTAAGTACTATTTGAATATTTATAATAGAACGTCTGAAACACCTACCATCATAGGATGACTCTGGTTTTCATTTACTTTAATACTTTGGGATCGGAGTATTAGTCATCAAGTTTTGGTCATGTTTTAGTCAGTTTTAGGATTCACATAAAAATATTTTAAATTTTAACAATTTCAGTTATTTGTATTAATATGTATTATCTGAACATATCAGATTAAAGAAGAAAAACCTTTTGACCATCTTTTAACAAGCTAGAAATTGGCATCAAGATGGGCGGTGATAAATGCCAGGCGGACGCTATTCGCAGACGACGATAGCCGAACTGATGGGGACCGCGAAGGATATTCCACACCGTAAACAAAAAAAAAGAAGGTTATCGCTATTATCTAATGTTGCTCTTCTACAGAGTGGAGACCTTCAAATAGCTGAATAGTACTGTGCCCTAACTTTCTTAACATATAAGTTAACACAATAACCATTCCATTTCCAACGCTGCAACTTCATTAAGATATTGTTGCGCCATAGGATTAAATGGTTCGATTGTATTGAATGTGGAGGACAGCGCCATCTAGTATCGACTCAAGTACATCTATTAAGATTGTGGTTAATATGAGCAGTTCTGATCCTTACAGCGCCAGATGGCGCTGCAAGTAACGCATGACTGATTCTGGAATATTCTTGTTGTCTGGAACGCTCTATCGATCTTTCTAGTAAAATTCAAAAGGGCTAATAAAACGAAGCGTGTTGGCCGTTTGGGACAGTATCGTTTTACAACACAGCGAATTAACATCGGAGTGAATTTCTAGTGCGACTAACGAGATATATAGTGATTTCTAGTTAATTATAGTGAGTTTTTGTAAATACAGTGCAATAAAGTAATTATCCGACAACTTTTATTTATTGTATACCCCGTTCGTAACAATATCATGTTTTTACTACATTTTCTACTACATTGTAAAAAAATGAAATCAATAATTACCTTATGTTTATCCCTCGACGCGGTATACAGGACCCAGGCGACATAAACAAACATTATCAATGCGGGCACCACGAGGCTGGCAACGACTGGTATCTTCCTAATCCAGGCATGGTAGATCGCCAAGATAAACAGCAAAATGCCCACCAATATGGCTATGTAACGGCCCGTGCGACGGCGTTCCTCCTGTAAATTGATTTCTTCCATAAGTCTTTCAAAAGTATCGATTCATAGAATGACAGTAACAGGAAATGATAAAATACACCGAGTACAAGGGTTAAAAGCTGTTATTCCTAATTAAAACCGCTCCCTTAGTTCATACAAAAAAAGAAGCCGTGTGGTGTCGTGGGACACCCGATAGGAACGAAGTTGTGACGATCGAGTGAAACTGATTTGACACGATTTTAATTACAACGCCATCTATGAAAGCGGCTATTACCTACATATTAAAAACAATTAAAACAATTTATACATTGGTAAAATCTCCTTGCGAAATGATTTCCTATCTATTCGATAGATGGCGCTGAATGTCTGACAAGATGACACGAAAATAAAGAGCAAAAAGCCAACATCACGTGGTATTCCCAGGCGGTCACCGATCCAAGTACTAACCACGCCCGATGTTGCTTAACTTCGGTGATCGGACGAGAACCGGTGTATTCAACATGGTATGGACGTTGGTGAACGTTAAAGCAAATTTAATGTATGGTATCCACAGTTAGACGTCAATTTATATTAAAAGTGTCACAACGCGCGATAAGGAACTTCGTTCCAACTACGGAGTTATGTAATGTACTAACGTAGTGGTCCTCTCCCTGTCCTAGTATGGCTAGATGATTATATCACAGTAGGAAGGACTAAAACATTCGAGTACATGCCTGAATCCATGCCACTGAAGTACCAACCGCTGATAGGTATATTTATTACCAGTAATTCTATCCTCAAGAGCAGGAGAATAGAAAAATGTGTATCGCTACTATCACCAAGAGGCCCTATCAATAATTTTACAGATTGCGACACCATATCCTACTACTTCTAAATACGTCTAGCTACAAATAACTCTTTCGACATTATTGGAAATTTTTCCTACCAGAAGAGCCCCCGTTGCACTGAGACTTACAGTTTGAGCTAATTGCTAGTGACGCCAGATATGTTAGCAATCCTGAGAAAAAATAGATAGACTATCAACCCTAATGCACTGTATATAGTATTTTACCAATCAGATAGGGATAAAAACAAAATGGCCCAAAATTTAAGAGGGAGTTGGCCATGTGTTGGGCACGTTTTCCCGATCAAGTAACGTTGTCACCTAAGAAAATTGACTTTACTAATTTCGTTTCGTTGTTAATTAGTTATTCATTGTTTAAATCTTTACTACAGGATTTAGGCAAAATAAATTAAAACGTTAAGTAAAAAATATTAAATAAGAATGCCTATACCCCGTACCATATTGCGTCACAGGTACATTGACACCAAAAATAAAGTTTTATTTATGTGTATAATGTACTGATTTGAAACTCTCTTTGTAGTCCTATTAAAAAATTATTACAAAAAGCTAATAAATTATAACAATTGCCTTCTGCCGCAAAAAATGGCAGATCTGTCAAATAAAAGTAAATTTCCGATAACTTTTTCGTTTCATTACACTTGCCAATTGTTTTCGTAAACTAACAATGAGCATAAAAATCTTGGTTACTTATTTAGTATTAGTTGGTGTCTGGGTAAACAAGATTATATAGTAGTAGGAAATAATTAAAATACTAAAAACAACTTCTATTAAATCATTTTATTATGTCTTACTCATGTTTTAATGAAATAAATATATCGTATTATAGAAACTCAAAACGCTAACAGACAAGTCCTTGTCCTACGTGTCCTTGTCAACTTGGTTATGGCGTCTTGTTGATATTTATTTGTATTGTATTTGTATTTACTTGTATTGTTTGTATCGATCAATGTTTCTGTTGCTGCATTTGAATAGTTCGGGCAGTTTCATTGAATAATTCATTTATTACGTCTATAATAATCATTGACAGTGTTGAGATAGTGACTCTCGTTTCGTAGCGTATAGTGATGTTCATAGTGTCTAAACAGTTAATTATTTTTGACTATTTAAAAAGTACGGGTAAACATCGACAAAATCTTGTTGGTAGTGAATAGTTAAATTAAACTAGACTCTTGAGAATAAATTCGAGCGTATCTAGTTAAGAACTGATTCCCTACAGTTATTAAAGTTATTTGTCTTCTGTTCTTACCCTCACTTTTAATAAAGTGAGGCCTGTAAAATACTTGGTATATAAAGGCTTTTATGTATAACGTTTAGATATTTGTATCGTAGTTTTACCAAACACGAGTAGAACGATGAGCGTATACGTTTTAATAATTCATGATACAGCAGCTGACATGCAATATTTGTATTATTCATAATCAGTACAACGCCACGTTTCAACCACAAATAAACATATGAAACGATCAACATGTAATAATAAAATAATACACATGTCCCGTTATGTATATACTTACCACTTATTGCTAAAAGTAACTCTAACAAAACGTCAATAAAAGTCCCGTGATTACGATTTTAAGCAGGCTTGGTAAAAACTAATTGAAAGCTGCACTATGTTTTCTATACGTGTATGAGTTTATAGTTCTTATCATCATCATCAGCATAGAATTAAAAATACTGTAATGCTTTGATGTTACATAAAAGCAGGATAAACCAACAGATAATCGCAGCTATTGGCCAATGCAGTATGGTGAAACTTACTGTGAAACCGATAATAAATCAACAAAGTACGATCTGATGAAAGACGCTTTAAGTATCTGTTCTCTTTCAAATTAATTTAAAATTAGAAACATCTTGTCTTTTAAACATTTAATGTGCCTAATTTGATTTTTTTAAATGTGAAGACTTTTCTTTGCTAACGATAAATCGTGATTAATTTTATTGAAGTGTCAAAGTTTTTATAAGAAACAAATCTATCTATTGGTTGGAAAAATACTTAATCACTTAATAATAAAGTGATATAGTATACACGTATACATTAAATGATCTTTACAAAGAGCGTAGCATCAAAACAATCGTGGCATTTTTATGTTCGCAGTTTACATCTCTGTATGTTTACAGAATGGTAATGTACAACTGCCACCATTCCTTTTCCCACGCTGACACTAATGATTTGCGAAAAAATAATACAACCTTGTCTAGCACGCTGTCTTGTTCTTCCAATAAAACTTTTTTGTTTCCATCTTTTCCATAGGTATCAGTCAGTGAGTACAGAAGTTGCATTATTGGTCTAAATAACATCTATTTTAGTAATTTTAATTTTCAATAGTCTCGATTCCATTATAACGTTCAGTTTACATTTTTCGTCGCTGTAGACGTCAGTGATAATGGAGTAACTGTTGACGGACGGAAATTAAAAATTTAACATCAAAGTGAAACACATTTCAGTAGAATCTGAATGAGGTTTATGCAACTTTTACCAAAAGCGACATTACTTTATCGATAATTTTGTTGAAAACATTATTCATAACAGTGGAACCGAGTACAACACTTACATACACTGATATTTTGTTCTTGACAAAAGTTTAGTAAGTGTGAACAGTTTACAATACCAAAATTTAACTTGATTACCTATTTTTTCTAAGTAGTCTATGACTAGTGTTCCAAAACATTTTTAACTAGTGTTCCAAAGCAAACAGACTTTTATTTAGTGGATGGTACGGTATGTATGGTACCTACCGTGCACCTATAACATAATAGTAATAATATATCCGGTATTTTTAAGGTAAAAAAGCAACGTATTTAAGAAAATATCTGCAAAGTTAACCACGTTTAAACATTATACACGTTACAACTCAACGAAATTATGTGTTCTACATCTATGTATATGTGTATGTATACATTTATAAATAGCAATTCTCCAAACAATAGAATTATGTGGCAGGTGCACAAATAACAGCCGTCTAGACTAGGCATATTTTAACACGCTTTTATTAGCTTCACCTGTATGTTTGTTTGTTTGTTTGTTTGTTTGTATGTTTGTATGTAACCGACTCCTTTGAGCTCGATTTTGCCCTACTTTGAACGATCAGATTTGATTCAAACTTTGCACACCTGTCAAAGGTCGATGACAATGCAATAATCCGATCAAAATATCCGATTATCCTAATTAGATTCGCCAGGATTAATTAATTTCTTTCCGCATACTTTGCATGCGAGTAAGAGAGACAGAGCTAGTGCGCGAACTACGCATGCGTGCAGTTCCAGACTTGCTCTTTCGGGCACTCAGTTCAGCACAACCTTATAAAAACTAATATGGTAGTTGCGTCTTGTTCCTTATACTTACATATATGTCCCGACAAATCTAATACGCATTCTATTATCATTTTATAATATCCATATTAACATTTCCCATTAACTTTAGTAACATTTAATACATTTAACATAGTTTGGTATCATCGTGTTTTGTAAACATTTAGAGTAGTTTATATAACAATAAACATTTTATAACATTACGTTACATCCTTTTAAAACCTCCAATTGCAACCCAAACAATATTTATAACCGTGATTTACAGAAAAAAACAAAAAATTTAACTAAAAAATGAAAAATAAATAATAGTTTAAAAAAACTAAAATTAAAAACACGCTTTTATAGAAAATCCAACTAAAAAACAGAAAATAAAGTTTAATAAATTTGGATTAAGAATAGTGTAAATTTGATTAAGTTTGATTAAGTACAGTGTAAAAAAAAAATGAATGTACATTATTGTAAAAAAGCGTGGGGTGCAAAGTGTCAATAGTTATAAACATTTATTGTCAGATGAGTAGAAAAATCATCACTTTGATAATATCATAAAAAGCACTTCAGATGCACCCCACGCTTTTTTACTGTAATGTACATTAATTTTTTTTTTTACACTGTACTTAATCAAACTTAATCAAATTTACACTATTCTTAATCCAAATTTATTAAACTTTATTTTCTGTTTTTTAGTTGGATTTTCTATAAAAGCGTGTTTTTAATTTTAGTTTTTTTAAACTATTATTTATTTAATACTATAACAAAGGGAACTCGGTCGGTGTATTATAGAACACCTGCAAAAGAAAGTTCCAAAAAGTATGAAAGGTTTTAAAAATATCTATTAATATGTACTCTCATAGTACAACAAACGTCCTGTATTCATAATTTTAATTAGTATTATTTAATAGAAAAATCATTACAACCTGTTGTCTCATTAATAGATGAAAAGAATTGCTGCGAAAAGTGTAAAGATGAAGAGTTACATACCTAAACCAAACCAAACACTGGGCCCAATATACGAGTAGATGCGGGTAGCTAACTATATTAGTATGTTATTAGATTGCGGATGTCCCCGAGCACCTGCGGGTTACAAGCGCATCAATTCCCAATCAATGCGTTGATTTAATATGCGATATTGAGATGCTCCGTCTGTGGCATAATGCAAGATCAAACATCGTTTGTATACAGGAAAGTCATTGATCAATAACCAGGAGGTAGAGTAGGTAGAGTAGTAACGTAGTGCAGGGCACGATGGACCGATAACTTGAGGAAGATGGCTGGCAGCGGATAGATGCGAACTGCCCAGACCGGGATGGTTTGCACCCTTTGACTTCGTTCAGCAGTGGACGGCAATAGGCTAAAGAAGAAGTTATTTTCATTTGACTGCACGGATGGCGTGGTTTAAGCGGTCTCCACGCCGCGCCACTCACTACTACGCTGTGTTGTGGGTCCGATCCCCACATGGGACGACACTTTGTGTGATCCACAAATTGTTGTTCTGAGTCTCGGTGTTCTGTGTCCGTTTCATGTATGTTTGTAAAGTCCTCCGAGACACAGGATATATTCCTAATGCGAGAGTTGTCTTTTGAAAGAAAAAAATAAAATAGTGTAATGTCGTATAATTCTACTGTGTGAATACTACTGGAATTTAATCTATGTTCGTGTTACAGAATAGGGCTATCTGAGCAATATACATAACTTAGATAATAGTTATTCGCTGAACCAAAACTTTAAAAATATAATCATTTCAGCATGTCTTAAATTTTATGAAAATCTGATTTATAAAATAAAATATATATTTATAGAATAAAATCCCATAAAATATTTATATGTTGGCTGCTAATCAGTCCACTATACAACAATAGCTGAGTCTTAAGAGCAATTGTTCTGTCGAGAAGATCAAAACGCTTGCGATTTGTATCTGTGGTGTTTTTCTTAAGCTTAGTAAGCATTAGCTTGACATGACAAAACATGACATTGAAAATAAGTTTTACTTATTTTCCATGTTTCATGTTCTTTATCCTTTTCTTTTAATAAATGTTTTCCTTACATTTATAATAATAATAAATCTCACACATCTCTCACACTAGATTACAAACTAGGCAGAGGAGCCTGTGCTATGGTAACCAGACTGCTGATAAACATACTTATATGTATATTTTTGAAAACAGACATTATAGACAGTCATTATTACACCCAGACATAGAACAAACGACCGTGCTCATCACACAATTTTTCGGGGTGGGAATCGAACCCACGACCTTCGGCTCAGCAGTGAGGGTCACTAACCACTAGACCAACAGGCCCGTCCCGACCGTTATTTCAGATTCCTTCTTTTTATAGTTTAATTTAAGTTTATTTACTTAATTACGTAACAGCGGACAAAAAACATGCTGTACTTAATACAATTTGTTGATATATAGTATAAGCTATTTGGTAAATTAAAAAAGTAGCTGTGAGTTTGATTGCTCGATTTATTCTCACAAGGCTCAACCATTTCTGAACGGCGATTATGGATTGACAAAGGCAGACAGTTTTATCTGGTTAAGTTTATATTGACAAAGCAACCTGTTCTTGCAGTGACTGTGTGTACTCACCTATAATTTATATAACATTTAAAAAGACAATTGACAATTGATTTCGAATTATTAGTGACTACTTTTTAAAAATAGAATTTGCAGTTACGGTTAATTAAACATGACTTTCTTTCTGAATTTGGTAAAAAATAACTCACAGATTCTATGTTTTTACCTAATTCTACGCTTCTCGCTAACACTTAAGAATTATTAATTGATATAAGATTTATGTTGCCATAGCCCTAACTTGTGCTATAATGATACTGTAAAAAGCGGTGAAGTGCTAGTTAAGATGAGTTCCCGTCATCATTATCTAATATCAGGTTACAAATAAATTTTACTGGTTTTCTTGATGCTCACCATACTTGAGAATTTAATTAGACGGGATAGGAAGAAGGTGTGTTGGGATAAAAAAAATTAATGTGCCATACCACAAGTCTTAGCTTTTAAAACAGGATCGATACTGCAGTTGATCCTTTGGCACTCTCTGGCGCCTGATGTTTCGTCTATGTGATGGGAAAAAAAAACTCTTTCCCGCGACCTACCCAGAGCCTCAGGTTATGAAGTAGAAGAATACCATCAAGGCCATGGACATATCCTACACTAAAAAAACCATACGATACGAACTATAATAAAATCTGTTCGAGTATTTAGTTTACTATATTTTTAAAAACTAGTATATCAACACAAGTAATCTGAGCTACATAATGTAATTGTATAAATCTAATCCGGCTTGATTTAGCAAATTTACTTAATGGAAGTGAACTTCACGATCCTAAAGAGTTAACAGTAATTTGGATCATTTATATTCTACCAATATCGTAATTACTAGGCATAAGATCAGGTAAACTATTAGTATTCAAGCAGAGTTAATAAATGAAGATATTTTGCTTTATAAATTTCTGCAGAGCAGGTTCCAACCAAAACTTATAGCTTTTTATGTTAACTTTCTGGCCGTGATATGCTCTCTTATGCACCTGCTGATTTTCATAATTTCTAATACGGTAAGCGAACTGTAATCTAATGAGCAATTAAGTCGACGATATATATATATATTTATATATATATATATATATCGTTGCTTTTTGCTATATAGGTATAGTTCGCAGTATAAGTAGCCTTCGAGTAAATCTCTAGATTATGTAACGATGTGCGTGTCTTAGGGGGTAAGCCTGTACTTAATACACACCAAGTACAGTCAAACAATTATCTATAAACCACACAACGCCGATATCTCGATATTGAACGATCGAATCGATAATCAAACTCACAACAACTTATACAATCGAGATGACTAGTTATACTGATAATATTCTAAGATCAGTCTACATTATCCGTGTAGACTAATCTATCCCATCTCTTATTAACTTATTATAAATGTTGTTCATCTGACACCAAAAAAACAGGCTGTTAGTAAACGCGAGGGAATAGCGTTTGATAAAATGTAAACCTCAGCGGCTGGCAATGCCATTTATCAGCTTAAAGTATCGCGACATTCCCGTCATGAATCATTCTCAATATTAACTCGCGCCCATGCAGGTCAGAGTAAAAATAATATTCAACCTCTTTAAAATGCATGATCATATCATGACTTAAATACCTCACATGTTATGATGGGTAATTTTGAGTTTTTCCAGAGACCAAGATCGTAAGTCCAAAATACATTTTATTTTTTAAACAAGCTTACATTTATTTTACACACGTGTTTACAGACGAATTAAAGCACATTGAAGTACTAGCAATCAAATACAAATGAGAATTGTCACATCATAAACGACACGATTAACTGAATTTGAAATGTTATTACACCGAATAGTAAGACAAGTTGACAGACATTTTTATACTATCATGCGGTACAAACGTACCTCTTGTTGCCGCTTGGACGTCAGCTCATCCTGTAAAAGAAGAATAGCATAGGAAAGTAGTAGTATATTTATTTTTATGCTATTCTTACTCATTATGCAGAATGTTACAAAAAGTTGTGGTCATATTTTAGAGTCTTACAGTAAACCTCCTGCATAACGTGAAGCGCTAACAATTTTAAATACATTCGTGATTTTTAATACATATATCTTATACTGAAACCAATAAATTGAAAAGTGACGTATAAAAAATTAAAAGATTAAGGGTAGCTCATAAAACTATAGTTTATTAGTATGTGAATAGAATAAAATCTAATAAAAACACAAAACGATTAAAACTGTTTTAAAATATTAAACTGGGTCCGAGTCGGGTACAGTTTTTGTAATTGACTGATATATGAAATAATATCTACTTAGAAATATACTTTATCACCTTTTGAAAAAATGGATTCAAAAATATTCTATTATTTTTTCTAAATCCTTCTTTCCACATAATAACAGAAACGCTCCTAAAATTTGACCACATCTTTCTGTAACATCCGGTATATGTATATTAAGTAAGATTTAAAATATTAATTTATACAATAATTAATTAACACAAGAGACGAAATAATCGCTACTAAACGCATAGGTATTATTCGAATTAAAGCTTCCGTAAATTGTATTTAATATTTGCATAAGCTATACGGTTTTATTCCCGTGTGCTATTCGGGTATATCCGCAGTATTTGAATCTTACTGTTTTTTTTAAATCATCGGGTAGGAAAAAAAACATAAAAAATATACAAATGAACAAAACCGTATTTCGAAAGATATTTTACATATAGGTATAGTTTAGTTACACTAAAAACTGAATTTTAAAAACTAAACCAATATGTTTGGGATTACTTTTTATGTATTTTGATTGGACTTGGAAGACAATTCGTGAGTTTCTCTAAGAGGGAACAAATTGGGTTATAAATATTAGAAGTCCTTAAAAGTCCGACGATACGACCTTTAAGAAAAGAGCGTACTCCTTCCTAAAAGGCCATCAACGAGTTTGTGACTCCTGAGTTGCAGACGTTCATGGGCGGCGATGGTCACTTTCCATCAACTGACCCGTTTGCTCGTCTGCCCCCTCTAACATAAAAAAAAACTATCTATTATAGTTTTTGCTAAACATTTTGATGTGGAAACACTAAGAATCGTTTTACACCTGCAGTCTAAGCTTGTTACTCTGAATTACATCACTTACATCTTTTTTTTTTTTTTATAGTTTCCCCTCACGGTTAAACCACCATGAGGGGGAGTTTATTAAATTATTATGGTACATTCTGCTATTTGATACAGAAATATTTGAGTGCGTTATGTGTTATTAAATTCTTTAAGTGTGTTAACTATAAGGGTGAGGTGAGTCATAAAGGTATGGGTGGCGGTGTTGTTGGTGATCAGTAATGTTAAATTATATGGGTCTAAATTAAAGTGGTGACAGAGTTGTTCATGGTTGAGTCTTGTGCGAGTGTATCGTGGGCATTCTGTAATGAGGTGTCTAAATGTCTGGGTAGTTGTGTTGTCGCAGGGGCAGGTGTTGTCGTCTGTAATATGAAATCTGTGTAGGTATTGTTTGTGGTAGCCGTGGTTGGTGAGTAATTGTGTGAGTGCGAATGTGTGTCCTGTTATGTCGATAAGTTTATATAGGTGTGTAAGTGATGGGCACCAAGTTTTAATAATGGTTCCTTTGACATTATCAGCATATCTGTTACAAGCTACGTCATGGCTATCAGTTTTGGCCTTTTTAACACCATTAACGCCATAGCAATATCTACACTCACACCACTTGACCTTAAAGTCAAAGAAAGAGCACGAATCGAATCAACTAGAATTACAGGGCTCACCGATTGCCTCCCACTCGATGTCACACTTGATACACCCACTGAACCATCTCATTTACTTCACCCGGCACACAGACAACCACACTCCTTTGACATTATCAGTACACAAACTGAATTAGACGACATCTTAATCAATCAACAACATGCACACCACATCTACACTGACGGCAGTAAGCACGACGACTTAGTGGGAGCTGCCGTTGTGGTACGTACTCCACAAAACACCCTTATCACCAGAACATACAAGCTACATTCATCGTGTACTGTCTTTCAGGCTGAACTGGTGGCCATCGACCAAGCCTGTCAGTGGTTACACAAGCAACAGGTTGATATAGCTTTCATCATGTCGGACTCCAGGTCAGCTCTGGAAGACATTAGCAACACTTATAGCACACATCAAGTTACCACTAACATACAAAAGTTTTTGCATACCACACACACACAAATTAACTTTGTATGGGTTAAAGCTCATACGGGCATACACGGCAATGAGGCTGCTGACATAGCCGCTAAATCTGCGGCCTCCGAATCCTATTCACCCATTTTCAAGCACTTCCCGATAAGCTACGTTACAAAAAAGGCCATCACTTACATCTAACATCGATTGTATTGATCATTTTAAATAAGCTAAAAATTTTGTATAAAGTAGCAATGTATGAATTCGTTTATCTGCAAGTCTGTGCATTTTACACGAAATAACTTTCTTTTAATGTGGATCTTATGAATCGAGCGCTGAAAGATCTGATTCAGGCAATATAGTACTCGCCATAAACATGAAGCATCTGGCTAGTTTTTGACAAGGAAAAACAGCTAAACAGCTTACATATTATAATAGTGATGATGAGTAGTATAAGTTTATTACAGGACTTAAGAAAGCAGACACAATTACTATTTAGGTTCAAGTGGTCGCCACTCCGCTTCCCACTGCAATGAGAGTTGTGGCTTCGATCCTCACACGGGACAACACTTTGTGTGATCCACAAATTGTTGTTCTGAGTCTGGGTATTCTTTCATGTATGTTTGTAAACTTCCCGAGACATAGGATATAAAATCATAGTGCAAGGGTTGTCTATTAAAAAAGGGATAGAAATTCTTGGGGACAAGGTTATAACCTAAAAGGCAAGCACCTATTCAAAACTCTTGCAATAGAGCCTCCTGTGACAAAACCCTATGCAATTTACTTGATTCAATTCGATTAAATCAGTTCCAAATTTCGTATTTTCATAACATACTATCGATTTATATGAATTACTAAATAAATATATCAGATTCAAAATCACTGCGAACACTCAGTGTGGTATGATAAACTCTTGTTACACCATCCTTGCGACTTCAAAACATTATTTTGTATGAGTTAGTATAAAAGTAATTATTGTATACATAGCATTTTTTTTACACTTGCATATTGGTGTATACTGTGAAAAATGCTTATTCCCATTAGTAATATCGTATCTTTTCTACGGATACATTAATCTTGTTCCGATGGGATTTATGGAATTTACACAGAAATCATTTGGAGCGGTGGGCGTCGTTTTGCTTATAGATCACTTAAGAAAAACGATATTTTGATTCAGCTGTATTTCAAAGAGTACATTTTGAGCTAGATATAGATTCATTACAACAGTCAACACAAATTATTTTCCCGCCCAGAATCATTCTGTTACTTCATTATCATTATCTATGATAAGAGAAGATTTTTTTCTTAATACTTCTCTTTACACACTACGTCAGTTATTATATTATTAACTACACAATTAAGTATATTGTCTTTCAAAATAAAAATATAATTTTTGTTGCGCTATAATTTTCAAAATCATCAACGTGTATGTATAATTTGATCATGATGATTTGATCATGGTACAAAAAAAGTGGTATTAAGAGTACCTTCCATCGTAAAGTATACCAGAAGTAAAAAAAAAAACTTTCCAGTGAACTAAACCGCAGGTAAAGCTTGTATGAAAAAACATTCTGATATCGATAAAATAATGGCACAACTAACTAAATATTGAATATAGCTAAGTACCTAGAAATGCACCGTCGTTCTCTACACAGTCGTTAATAATATTATGTCTCTGAACATTGTTGGCGAGCGATTTTCTCCGCTATTGAATAAAATGTACTTTGTGAGCAACAGTGCTGCTTCGACAACGATATTTGATGTTGACATTTTGAATATCGTATTTCCAACTTTCAATTTACTTGCAAAAATATAGAATGTTGGCATTTTTTTAAATAGACGTTAAAGAAAAGTATGTAGGTCCGCCTCGAGATAGATCTTGATTAAGTTAGTATTAATCAAACACAGCTAAAAATTAAACACAATTAAAAAGGTCGTAGTGCTTTCAGATACAAGCAAGCTAACATAAAGCTTTTAGAAGTGGATTCCATATTTAATTTCAAGTTGTTGTTTCCTTTTAGTGATTAGGGTCACCAATCTCTCAAAGAAATTTCTAAACTTTTATTTAATAAACACAATAGGTACTATCTCAAAAATAAGCAAATACTATTCATAACTACTGGTCTAACACCGCGCAATGCACAATAAAACTCATCATCGAGCCGCCGGGTAATAAGCTGTTTTGCGGGCTCTTTACTTTAACTAAAGTTACATCACTACCGTTCAAGAAACATTACATTATATAATAACTGACTTAAATGTCCAGGGATCGGTCACCATCCTGTAATCACATGTTGCACAAGATTTCTGTAGTACTTTTTGCAACGTAAACTCAGTTAGTAAAGGAACTACTTAACCCACAATTGAACTGCAATGTGTTTTACAAAGGAACTATTCAGTCAAATGAAACACGTAACTTTCTTACCTTACAAATTTTTGTACTACTTCACGATGATGGATAAATACACAACCGAGGCAGGTTGTTGTTGTAAAATTATTTATCGGAGCATCAAAGCGCTGTCAATTCATCAATATTCGTACTTCGAGCAAGTCAGTACAATTTATAGTTATTAATATAATGAAAAATGATACTTAAAAATAAGCAAAGTTTGTGAAAATTAAATTCTCGTTTAATGTTCTGGACACGAGAGTGGCTATCATATGGTTTTTTGGACTCTTAGTCAATTAACTAGGTTTTTTTAAAACATGAAAATAAATGTATTAAACATATTTATTAGGTAGAAAAAAAACTAAACATGATCGGTCTCCATTGTCAAAACCAAATTAGCAATTAGGTTACAATTTTGCCTCCTTAATAATAAAGATAATAATTAAGAATAGTAAATATCAGAGGACGTAAAATTTAATTACAGTTACTTTATCATTGACGAGTATACTAAAAATACTAACATGACCCAGTTGTGTTGATTTGTGACTGAAACTGCCAGATGCGAACAACCTTCCTTCGTTAAATTTGGAAGATGTGCCCTAGATATAATTAAACACTTTGTCACCTTAACTCCCACTTGAAATTCTGTTTATAAATAAAATCTACATCAGATTTTAATAGATAACATTTTGATCAGCTTCATTATGAGTGGTTAATATTGATATTGCTAGACATGAATGCGATCGGTAGTTAGGTACGAATTACTGAAAAAAATAGTTTACAAATTCTTATATAGTTTATTTTGCTACAAAGATCATCAGTTGCTTTAAACGATGTCTTCGAATAATTTTGTCAACCACAACATTAATTTTATTAAGGATCGTTACATTTTAACATACTACTTACGCCATCTACCGAAAGTCTTTGTAACTATAGAATAATTATTTATCACTACTGCCAAGAAACAACAGTCGCAAAGTATATGTTATTTTTGTAGTTGTTTGTTTTGTTGTTGGTTCTATTGTTTAAAATTATAAATAAGTTTTCACAGCACATTACTTCCGTATTTTGTTATGGTTCTTCTTATCCAGCTTTTTTTAACAAAATTTCTCTAAAATTATTAAATTTTGAAAGAACTTATTTAAAAACTTAAAACAAAAATGTAGAGAAGATCCCACGTATAAAATAAAATAAACTAATTACAACGTAATTGATTTCAGTAAAGTGGATATTCTAAGGCTGGAAGAATCATCTAATATATTGACAAGGACATATTAAATTATGCAAGCTTAGAAAGATTTCATAACATTTTTATTTTATAAATATTATTATTTAAAACATCGTTTACGTACATATTTAGACGAACAAAGCCATCGTTTCTTGAAAACTTCAGCCGGGGGATAATAAGATTAGAATAATGGTTTCGACACAGAAACTTCTCTTTATGAATACATAGTACAAAAAGAACGCATAATTAAATGATTTTCAAAGAGATTGACTTTAATAACATTTCTAGGATGTTTAATTTTATATCGTGTAACTCCAATTACCATTTAAATCGATAGTGAGTATTTTTTGAATACTGTTTGAATATTTTTTGAATATGAACGAAGTTCCATATCGCGCGTTACTCGTACACGCCCTGAGCGGATGGGAGCGAGACCGAAAAATGTGTAACAAGACTTTTTGCCGACACTTCGGGTCATCGGGACTCTCCGGGTGGCAAACGTCTACCAATAAGCGAAAAAAACTTCATTTCTACTGGGGCTCTACTGGGGTATTGGGATAAATGATCAGACGGGTCTAATATAAAATAACTACACCACTAGACAAGGCACCTGCAACTCAAGAGTCACAAGTGCGTTACCGACACTTGTGGGTGACACTCCAGCTCACCCCTTACCCTCTGGATTTAAGGGGAGAATATCGACTGAGTTTCAGATAACCTTATACACTCGTTACACTACAACGTTGGCATTGTTTACCAGTTTTCTGTGAGGCCGTGGTGTACTTTCGATCCAAGAATGCTCCTCCATGGTAATATAAATACTAACAAGAGTTTAAAATAAAATATGTATTTGATTCTTTTTCTTTATCTACCAGGGAAATTTTGAATCTATTTTTGTTTGACGATACTACGATTGGCCCGCACTGGAATCTCCACCAATCGCAACGCTAAACGCGCTCATCGTCAAGAGAGAGTCCATGTAAAATAAACTTAAATTCGGCCCTCTGTTTCTGATCGTGGGTTAGAAAAAAACCATACGAAGATGCAATATATATTAATAGGACTATAAAGGTTCATGTAAACGGTAGGAATTAGTTAAAAAGAAGGCATAAAAAAACACTACACTGTTATATTTTTACTTCGGATCAATAATATATATAAACTCATACTATTGTAAATATATAAAGGTATTGGCGGTCAAGCGTACCTACGTTCACTTAAAATACTAACTAACGTGAGTACATCCTATAATTGTAACAATTAATCCATTTAAAACAATTATTATAAAATCTAAAAAATAACAGCTAACTTATTTAGTACTTAAACTTGGCTGTATATTTTAAAACAGTACAACTCGACCTCATATTTTTAATAACAAAGTTCAAGAATTTTCACATAAAGTTTTAAAAGCCCTCATCCAGAACGTCTCTGGCACAAGCCCTTGTCCAGGAACCTTGCCAAGAGCTCTTAAATCCAGTCCAGCCAAAAAAAAAATCCGTTCTAAGCTCACTTGTCCTCCCAATAAATTAGGAAGGTCCCCACCAAAAAGGTCTCTAGGTACAAGAACCACTATCATAGAAATTGGTGGGAGCCCTTAGACCTTCCTTATCCGGCCCTGTTTCAAAATCTGTTTTAAGCTGCCGTTATCTGCCTATTAACTACCACCCTATGGAATGTGAACCAAAAAATAGGGATTATCATATGAAAATGCAATAATACTTCCAGCAAATCGTAACTTCATTGATCAAGTTGTTTGCAGATATCGTGATTAGTCAGAAGTGCGAGTGAGTATTAAGTACCAAAGTACTTACATAGTAATGTATTGGACAACGTGGAGTACATTCATTAAACGATTTTAGAAGTTTTATGAGCACAGGTGTAGACGTTATACACAGATCATGTATTTTAAGCTATTTTTGGTGTTTAGAGACAGGATGTTTATTGTAATATGCAAGTTTGCTAGTTAGGTAATAGGAGTAAAAACGAAAATTAAATTTTATGCAATAACTTCCATAGCCATAGTTAGGGTAACTATTCTTGAAATTGACTTTAGCATAGTGATACCGTTGACTAGCCCTCAATTCACTTTAACGTGTAGAATTTTATGATAAAGGCATAATTGTAATCGTTTTGGTTTACAGGTTTTCACATATTTTTTTTCTAATACATGTACATAATATACATGTTGTAATATAAATATTTTACATATTTACATATTAATTCCCAACTGTTTTATTTTATTTAAAGTAAAACTTTATTGAATCCTTTACTGCCAGTGTTCTTTACAGGTGCATGGTTATAAAAATCTTGCAAGACCTAGCCGTACTATTGGTTAAAATATTAAAATAAATTAACTATATGACTTGAAATTTTGTAAATATTATATCTTTAAAACTCATTTGATTAACATAAAAATAATTGATCACAGCTTGTAAATCTTAATATATTTGATTCGCTTTTAATATTGCCATGGCACACCACAATGTGTTTTTGTTAGTATCCAGACTTACACTAACTGATGGTTGTCTCTACTGTTTCCGGTAAAGATTTTGAAATTTTTATAAACAACGAGCATTTAATATATTTTATTTTTACATACCTTAACAATTGAATCAGAAGATATGTCTCCATTTATTGAACTTTTTACATCGTTGTTCAATTTCAAATTCATTGTGGCGTTGTTTCTAAAAGGCAAAAATATTTACTCATTAACAAAACAATTCGATCACAAACATTGAATTGTGTTCTGCATTCCACGCGATTAGCCTTTAACAATTTTTTATTTATTAACTATAACGTACGTCATAAACACAGTGTGTGACTCAGTGACTCATTCGTGAGGTTCCAAGAGATACGAGACGAAACCGTGTGGACACGAGTGCGTGTGCGCGTATGGCCCGAGACGAGGGCGCGAATACACTGCAGTCTCATAACCAGATAAACGCTACTGCATAATCTTTCCATGCTTTGCCTGCTTGACTATAAAATAGCGAGTTAATCCATCCAACTAGTTAAGAACTACCATCTAGTCTATCGCCCGGACAGTTTGCAGTTCATTTTTTGTTAAACAGTATACCCGACCCCATAACAATGATGCTATTAATCATTGAACATAAATATTAGTCTGATACTTTCCAGATCTGAGTTTTATGGTTTAGCTAACCGCACGCTGACTATAAAAGAATTTTGCTAAAAATAAGGAATTTGCGAGATTGTTTTCCGTTGATACCTATTAACATTGAAGTTGTTTATACAACTTTGTTTATAAGTACTTCATTTGTGTACATGATTGGCATTCCCACAGGTGTACGGCCTGAATCGCCGTAGTGGTAGATCAACACTTCCGGCACATGTTTTAACCGCCATTATCGGCAGTACAATACAATGAGTTTGGATACAAGTGGTATGGTCCCGTGCCAGCCTCGACCAGATTTTTGCCGCAATACTTGTGATGTCGTCATTTGCCTTCGTCATTTACGTCGTCATTCAACAACTTATGCTACGCCATTTGCTTTAGTAAACGTGTGTATTAAATTCTCATCAGCTTTTTAGATTAATTTAACGGAAAAATTTCGCTGTTTCATCGCAGAACATTTACATATTTGTCCTATTCAGTTACCGTATACCTTTCGTGTACTGCAACTGTAAAGTAAATATTACCATTTCTACTAACATTATTAATGCTAAAGTAACTTTGTCTGTCTGTTACGCTTTGACGGCTTGACCGCTGAACCGATTTTAATGAAATTCAGCATGGTGATATGTTGATGCCTAAGGAAAGACATAGGCTACTTTTTATCTCGATAACCTACGAGTACATATAACAACAGCTACTAAATTGTTATATATCAATTTTATATTAATAACACACCGTAGCAGACCTCATATCATTAGGTACGAGGTATTTATTTTCCTAAAACTTGAAAACTAGAACAAACGATTAAGTTTACTAATACGCCATTGCGCTAACTAACTTATTTTGGTTTCGGAAGTATCATAACTTGACATTATTAATTAATAATCATGCAAACTTGATAAATTTAAATTTCATATTGTTTGTACTGTTTCTAAGAACCTTAAGAACTTACCAAAACTTAAGACAAGTTTCAGAAAAATAAATGTTATTGATATATAAATAAGTACTTAAATACATATGATATGACAATAAAGTTTATGGACTTTCGTATTTCACTTTCCACTGACAGCATCAGAACAAAACGCACATTGATCAAATTTGGAAACGAATCTGTAGGGGGAATTGAACAGTCAGACACGTTTGAACAAATCCACAAAGCAAATATGTTCGGTGTGTACAATTAACTGTTAATTTTTCGTTGATAAAATTTCCCCTTTATTGTACAAGTCACAAAACACGCCGCTTTAGAAAGGAAATTTTCATTACTCACTAGCTGTACCATGCCCCGTCTCAGGTTGTGGTCGCAATGATGAGAAATGAGGAACTGTGTACGATACAAAGACATGCTTTGTTACGATAAAATGATTTTTCATGTGTTTCTTAGTTTTTTAAACTATAATTTCTTATTGCCTACTTATTATATGCATTGCCTTATTATTGCAGTAACTTTGTTACTTCATCCCGTTTGAAAAAGGTTTTATTCCGAAAAATGACTGGCTGTAAACAGTCGCTCATAAAGATACCATTATAATATTACTAAGATATATACTTAATTATGTTTTTTTAATTGAATTGGGGGCAGACGAGCAGACGGGTCACCTGATGGAAAGCGATTAGCGCCGCCCATGAATGCAGCAAGTCAGAAGTCACAAATGCGAAGAAATGTTACAATGTTAATTTTATGTTTAATTTGTTTACGGGAATCAACGCGTATTAAGTACATACCTTAGAATTGCCTGACCTTGCGACCAGGTTGCATTAACCGTGTTGTCAGGCTGACTAGTAAACATAATTATGATTGATTAGATAAGACTCCTCCGTGTGACGGATTACGATAAGGATACGGAGTGTCACCACCCTTATTAATCCCGTGGGTGTCATAAGAGCCCACTAAGGGAGTAAGCTCTGTAGGATAACAGCACTGCAAAGAGAGGGAAAACTTTAAACAAATCCTATACCAACCCGTCTGGTCAGCGTGGTATAGTAAGCCAAAACCACCTTTTTAAGGAGAGGCCTTTGTCCAGCAGTAGACTATTAAAGGCTGTGGAGGATGATGAACGCGATAATTTAAAAGTTAGTTAGTTAGATGTACCTATTATTGAGATTTCTAGGACAAGTCATCTTAGTGCCCCCGATATGGCATATTATATTATTAGTAACTGTCAGTGTATAATTTTATTACATAGCTACTATTACTCGTAAAAGCAACATAAAGCATTGAAGTATCTCTAGTCTGCACTGAACTACATAAACATGAATGTGTCGCAATTTCCACTTCACATTTTTTAAGTGCTGATTATAAATGTGGACTAATATTGTACAACAAACCACAAAAATGTTCATTCTTCCTTCCTTGGGTATACCCGATGTTGGTTCGATGGCAAGGGGCTCGTGGATAAGTGGTAACTGAGTAGTTAACACATTGCAAAGTTCAGTCAGTTCAGTTCAGGTCAGTCTATGGATGGGTGAATATGTTTAACACATACAACTCATGTAATCGTTACGGGTAGTTGAAGCCCTAAAAAGTCAGACAACAGACTTTTTACAGAACTTGATATCGCTTAGTACTTGGGCTGTGTAGGTCTGATGGCAGTCGCTCTGAGTAAAAAATCGAAGTTCAGCCGTATCGTAGTAGACTTAAGCCCCAACCTAGTTTGGGCAAAGGCTCGGAGGAAGATTTCAGTTCGATGGTTGCATTCCACTTCATAGTTAAATCTGGTGTCGTGATGAACTGGTCCCACACATTGAAAACAAATTTCTATTTAGACTACGTACTTTATACTACCTTCTATATTTATGTTACAAATAATTGTTAGATGTCGTCTTTATACGTTTATTATTTTTAATTCAAAATAAAAAAAAGCAACTAGCTTACAGAGACGCGACGTATATACGTACATTTACGTATATATATGTCGTAGTTTTCCAGTAAAGCGGTAATAAAATAAATGTAACGGTAATAAATAAATTTCAAACGACGATTCCGAACATTCAACACAAACGTTCTGTTGTAAATAATAGCGTGTTGTTACGAAACTTTATTGAAGACTAACAGTTTATTTAATGCGAAATTATTTCACTATACTCTTAGTTAGCATTATGAAAAGTTATTCGCACTTTTTAAAACGCCTTATTAACAGCTTTTATTACCAAGTAACTATGAAAAGGTATCTTTCAACCTACATCTGACAGTCGTAACAAATAAATTTTGTATGTAGGTAGTTACGTGTATTTTGGATGAGAATAGAAGAAGAAAAGTGCGTACTCCTTCCTAAAAGTCCGGCAATGCGTTTGTGACTCCTTTTTTTACCATACCTCGGGCCATCTACAACAACAGGTAGACGACCCCCCCGTGTGGGAACTCCATGTTCCCTCTGCTCCCTGGAAGCGAGCGCGCTTCTCAACGCGCTCGCTGCCACCCCGGCCTGCTTCTGCTAAGGTGACAGATGGCCTCACCTGTCACCCCCAGGCCTGCGCTTATGGAGGACGGAGGTCGTTCTGCGACCTCCGGCGCCTGAGTCGCCTGCGGTAGCTGGCCCGTTCCCGGGCCTGGCGGGCCGGGAGAGTCCTAAACCTCTCCCGGTCCCGCTCCGCCGTCTCCTTCGCGAGCATAACTTGCTCGCAGAGCGTTTGGGACTCCTGAGTTGAAGACGTTCATTGGCGGCGATGGTCACTTTCTATCAGATGACGATCTGCCCGTCTCTAACATAAAAAAAAAGAAATACATATTTACATATTTATATTTATTTATATTAAGAACCTGATTTGAAGATGAAGCGAGGACGTCCAGCAAATGTCGATCCAGGTGACACTCCGTATTCTCCAGAATCCATTTGGATAGTGGAACTTTGGTTTACTTTTTAATTAAATTCTTTTTCGATTTATTTCAATTCATAAAGCTGTTTTCTTTAAGTTTAAGGTTTTATTTTTAAGTAAAGCCAAATTTAATATGTTTACGTATTGTCACGTAGTAATCAACGGGAATCGAACCCGAGACCTCAGCACAGCAGTCGCATATGCTATGTTGTCATAAAATAGTGTCATCATGATGTGATTCTAAGCTAACTCGTACACTTAAATGGCTGGTTGGTCACACAAAGTTACTCTGAAACCTTAAAAACTGTCATCATTATCCCAAATATTTTTGCTGCTCTTATCCCAATAACTTGGGGTTAGAATAACACTATCGATGTTTTTCGTATTTTTGCCGTTATTATTTGTGTTTTTTTCTTGTATTTCAATGTGATCATTCTTTGTGTATGATCGATCAAACGAAATAAAAAATAAAATAAAACAATCACAAATTTCAAAAATACAAGTCCTCAACTTTGACTAGCCGAACCACATTACCGAATCTCACAATAATATTTTACGTCGAACTCAAACTATACTTAAATCTTTTCATGATGAAATTTATACTGCAGCTGTTAGCAATATTATCCTATAGCAATAGTAGAAACACATCATAAATCAAATTAACAAAGCTCATAGTTTCCTATTGAACTTTAAATATAAATATCAAAGTTGCCTAATAAATCTTTAGTCGGAAGTTTAATCAATTGCTGATCTAAAATTTCAACTGGGATAACGGTGCATTGAACTGAGGTATGGCATGCTGCCCGGCAACGATGCCAACGGTCTGGCACCATAACTATGCGAAACCGTGCCAT